GTCAGCATGATTGTTTCTTGAGATCCTGGCACACTGGAAGCAAAATTTCCCAAAGTGCAGGAAAAAGTTTAAGTCAGCTAGTGCTCACACTGTCAGCTAATCCGTATGACAAACAGGCGCCGAGAAAATTTTAGAAAAGTTGTCTCTTTAACTTTGCTGGTAGCTTATCCTCAGGCTCTGTTTGTCCTGAAGGACTTGTTTTGTCTCTAATTGTAAATCCTGAAGCCGTTGTCGCTCCTCCAGTGCTGTTTGTTCATTCTTAGATTGCAGCGCTTGAGGTCTGTCAGTGTGTGAAGAGAATAAAAAGGGTCCAGGTCCCGCTGTGAACATTTGCAGATCAGAGTACAGAGCGGCTTCTCTTTGCAGCTGCAGTCGCAGAATCCTTTATGAAGCTGGCTGCTTGGGTACATCAAGGAGATTGAAATCCAGGATGAATGTTTCAGGACTGCAGAGAGAACTGAATACAAAACAACCAGTACAATATGGTGTCTCCATGAAAAAACATGATCTGTTTTTACTCTGGTCTCCATCCTCTTTCATTCCCTCTGTAGAGTCTCCTCCTCTGCTCAATGCTCCCCTCTGTTTAGATTCCACATACAAAACAGTTGAGGTGAGGGTGAGATCTGGTGATTGCTTATTGCTTTGCTAACTTATATTGCTTGCTTTCTTATGCATTATTTTGTCTATGACTTCTAATGTCAAATTTTTCAGACTGTTTTAATAAAAGCCGACCATGGGTACACTTGGGTAGCCTCTATATGGCTTCTCAGGGGTAATTTTTACATTACTCATTTCCATGGTACATTCCAGCATTTTGATATTTGCTTTAAAATAAAATTAAACAGGAAACCTAATATGAACATTGTCAAAACTCTCACTAGATTCAATTCAAATTGGAAAAACAGCGGGAACAGTTAACTGCATACAGGTGTAACATCCATCTTTTACCCCATGTGTTATAGTAGAAGGGGTTCTTTGAGGAATTGGGTGCTTTAAGAGACAATTGAAGATGGACAGGTTTTGGAGGTGCTTTTAATTTCACCATCTTAGAACAACACATTAAAAAAGATTAGATTGTCTTGAGTTTGGTGCAGGATCTGCAAGCTGCTGGTTTATTTATCAAAGATCCACTGTAGGCATGTAGAGATCATGGAAATAAGACAATATTTTAGAAACACTTTTGGTCTAATCTTCAAATGATATAGTAGTCAAAGTTTGGGTAGTCCTTATAAAACTGTATTTCACTGTTGGTTTTAATTACAAATAAAGCTTTGAAATTGTCTACTACTATAATAAATGCTCATTACGAGAGAGGGACATTCGAGAGGGAAGTCTGGGCCTACCTACTGAAACTATTACCCCAACGACCTGACCCCAGATAAGTGGAAGAAGATGGATGGATAAAATCTTGAACTATCTTTTAAAGAATCTCTGCTCAGTTCAGAGTCATCTAGGACAGTGTTCCCAAACTTCAGTCCTCCATGGCCAGGATCCTGCAGCGTTAAGATGAATCTCTAATTCAACACACCTGACTCCTGTAGTAGTTTATTAGCAGAGTTCTGCATAACTTCACTTTATCCTAGTGAGCTGGTTTAGCTATTTGATTCAGGTGTAAACATCTAATATGAGTTTGACACAACGGATCTAGTATGATATCTATTTTAAGGTTTAAAACATAAGATTATCTTTATTTTTTCTAAAATCCCACTGGTCTTGTCCATGTGAATCTACTATCATATGTCCTCTCATGTTGTAAGATCTATGTATCTTCATCACAACCCTTTTAGGAAAAATACGGTAAGACTTTTCTTCAGGAAAACCCAAAACCTCCTCAGGCTCCTGTTTTAAAATATCTTTAAATGTGACGGTATTTTGAAGCCTTAATACCGATTTTGGTACCTATAAGAAGTTTGAGAAACACTCCTTTAATGCATTAGGAGAGATTTAAGATTTGAGACAGTTCAGTTAAGGTTTTAAAGGCTAGAGAGCTTTTTCACCTAATGTGACACACTAAAAGCGTTTTCCCCTCATGGGACTAAAAGTCCTGAGGAAAGAGGGACGCTATGTAGAAAAACCGGAGCTACAACACGGCAAGTTAAATACACCAAAGAGCAAGAGAGAGCACAAGCGCAGATGCATGTGATGCATTTTCACACCATGCATATCCTATTGGTGCTTTTGTATTCATGATCCCCATTCTCTGCTGATCCCTTATTATAAAATTGAGTGAGCGGGCCCTGAGCAGCACTCGAGGCAGCTTCACTATGCAGGTTTTTCACATCCATGTATGGTGCAGTCCAGGAACCCCTGCAGGATTTTAAGCTTGCATTATACTTTTGATTTATTCTCTCTTGTTAAAGTTATAATTAATTGGCCTATTTTATCTGCTTTTGTTCATTTGCGTCTTTATTAAACATAAAAACTAAGACAGATTTATCTTGCTCACTGATGATTTGCCCAGACTTGCCAAAACTTTAACTAGTGCTGTTGGAATTTAAAAAATCCAGATATAAAATAATATGGAAATTCAAGTAGCCTTCTGCATTTGTGCAAATTTAATCATGTTTCTGTCTGGTTGTTCAGTGGGGAGCGAATTTGATGCCTGCCATGCTTTCTTTGACACTGTCGTCCATCATAGCTGACTCCTAATACACAGTAACTCGCACAGTAGGAGGACCCAGGGAGATTCATGGTTCATAAGATTTTGAAGCAGTGGGCAGCAACACCCGACAAGCTCTTGGTACCCATCCGTCAGCCTTCCATGGGTGCAGAGGAGCAGGTTTAGGCGGTGGGGAAAAAAAAGTGCTAAATAGGGTGTGACTGTGATAAGTGGTGCAGTTTGATGAGGTTCCACCACCTGCCTGATGTGCTGTAGCATGTGCCAGACTTATCCACTGCGGCATATCTGGTGTCCTTATGATAACAACTGAAGGGGAATTTAATTGGTAAGTCAGACTAGCTGAATGAAAAAATATTTTTCGAAGAAATATTGGTTTAAGATGGAATCCCTTTGCAGAACAAGATCACTAAAAACAACAAACCAATATTTTTTTTTTTTTTTTTTTTTTATCAGAAACGAAAATGTTTCTTTTAAACATGGTTGTGTGGAGAACCTGTGAACAGTCAGTAGCCACTCACAAGATGTAAAATCTATTTCAGTTAATTTAGGGCTGCAGTAAGAAGTTTATATAATCTCTTTTTGAAACTTGCCCTATTTAAAAGTAAATCCACCATCCTGAAAATGTACCACAAGTCAGCTGGATGCCATAAACTGAGGCATCAGCTTAAGGCTGGATGCTACTAGTGTGTGTTTGCTGGTAGAAAATAGCCTGGTTGCTTGTTTGATGGCGGCATTGTGTGTTATGCTTCAAAACCATCCTAAGTTTTTAGAATTTGTTTGAAAATTTATTCTTTCCCATCGCATAATCACTGTACCACTGATATGCGCCCTCCAAGTTGTGTGTATTAAAATTTTTTAGTCTCTTGTTTCATGTAGCTTAAGAGGCTTCATTATGCAAAAATAGTGCCTTAGCAAAATCTGCCGAATTTTAAAGGCTGTAAACCTTTTCAGGTTCAAATTTGTTTATGCAGACAACATTGCTCCTGAATGGCCATTTAAAAACTGTTACACTGACTCATCCTCACGTAAAAATAAACGCAAAAAGATGAAGACACAACAGCTAAAGCATTGCACTCAGAATGCAGACCACTGTACTGTAGTCCCCAACTTTGATCCTAATTCACATGCACTATTAAAAAAAAATATTTCAAGTTCTAAAAACATTGGCATCATTTCCTTGCGCTTCTACCAGCATTGCCTACATTTTTTTAAATGGCAGGATAGTGTCGTTTGACGCCAGCTTTAGACTCTTCTGATGAAAGCACTCATCTCCACAAACTCAGCATATTTCTGTTGTTGAAGGGGCTCTTTTCTGGCATGCCTCTAACAGTTATCTTTTAGATGTAGCATCTGACAGATAGTGGACCCAAAATGCCCCTTCTTTATTGATGAGCTTTTTTCACCTCCTTTAACAACTTCAAAAAATATATATATAAAAAAAAAAAAAACAATTCACTGGACTTGTTTCCAAGTTTAAAGACGTTTTGTTTCTGATCCAGGAAGCTTTTTCAACTCAAATGTCAGAAATAGTGTTGAGTTTGAGGCTATATACAGTAGCCCAAGAAAGCCTTGTTTTTGCTTGGACTTTTAACAACCTGCTCACCTCGACATAATAATCACTGACCAAAAAAATAGCCTATGGGTTGTTGCATGTTTACCCAAAGAAAACTCTAAACTACCTAAACAAGTTAAATTCTAACAATAAGGTGGTAGTTCCCTATATCCCTATATGTATATGAGAAAGATCTTTTTTACTAAACACGTTATTTTTTTTCTCACTGGTTGGATTTTGGCAATTTGAGATCATGCTGCCGCCATAAAATATTAATCTATTTTAAGATTCTTTTTACTTATCGTGACAAGAAAATCCAAAAAAAGTCAAATGTATTACATCTAAAACTATTTAGCTGCAGCTAATGTGCAATGCTTGATGGGTAAAAAAAAAAGAACATGTTGAACAAGCTTAGCTCCGTTTAACTCATAGTGGGAGATTGGGTTGTTTTAACAGATTTGCATCTTCAAACCAAAGAAGGGTCTCTGTACCTTCAACAGCCTCTGCAGAAACCCTGGCAAGCAGATTAACTGTCCTGATTCAGAAGGCTGCTGGTGTAAATCATTACAGGGCACACAGAACAGCAGCCCTAAGGGATATCTGAAGCCCTCAAATGTGACGCCAAATGTTTTGATCAAGTGTCAGCATGTGACACGTTGAGAATATAAATGTGTTACATTCTCAACAACTGTAAGGCTGTTGAAATAAAGAGGTCTTAAAGAATGGCTTGAAACTGAAAAAAGAACATTGAAGGAAATAATTTGCATTTCTAATATCCGTATCATTAAAAATCTAAATAAAAATAAAATTTTAGACCTGTAAATCCAAACATCTAAATTGCTGGATAGGCATTAGTATGGATAAAAAGTTCTTCTGTTTTGCTCCTCTATTTGGATGAAAGCATAGCCTCAGACCAAGCTGCTCTCTTGATGTGTAAGCTGTATGCGTCCAAGGCATGAATTACATTAGTGATTTGTTTAAGTGCTAGCAGTCATTCACTTGTAGTGCTGAGACACTTCATTAAGAGGGAGTGAAGCAAACTGCAGCGCAAGCAGCAGCACTAAACACTCGCATCAAACGGCTCCACTCAGGCATCCCTTGTAAAGGTGTTTTTGTATGCATCAGGGCTTTCTCTCCTTACACTCAGAAACCCTGCATGTTGGTAATAATCTATCTGGAAGCCGGTGTTTGCAGAGCCTTGAAGAAAGTATTCACACCCCTTGAGCTTTTAAAGCATCAATATGCTTTTTTTTTGTAATTTCATATGCTAGAACAACATAAAAAACATATAGGTGGAAATTAGTGATTGATTTCTGAGGGCAGTTGGTTGCACTGGATTTTGTTAAGAGTTGTTAAGAGGGTGAATCTGGAGGGAAACCATATTTCTTAGATTCCTATTTTTGGTTTAAAAAAAATAAACATCAATCCCTTTCCTTCCGATTTCCTTCAGTGATGCCCTAGTTGGTCTGACACAGGAAATCCCAGTGAAAAAGAATAGCGTTACCGCTAAGAAAAAATGAAAACCTCAAAGGATATAAATACTTCTGACGACTACTACGCTTGCATAGAGCTGAAAAAAGCAAGATGTATCTCAGAGGAGGTATTCAATCAATAAAGAAACACTGGCACAAGCTACACCAGGGAACTTCACAATGATCCTGCTCGACAAATTGAACTTTTCTGTCAAATTTTCAAGCATCAGTAGCTTCTTTTGCAGCTATAAACATCCTCAGCTTAGGAGACATTTCATCAAGTCCCTGCACACAATAAGACAGCTCACCGATTCATTTCACAAGTCTCAGAGAATTAGTGTTTTGAGAGAAAATTGTGTTTCTGTTTGTCTCCGGGGGGGAATGGAAGTGGAGTCTGCAGGCTTTTTGACATTGCAGAAAATATTTGACGACTGTGTACATGTATGCATGTGGGAGTCTGCACGTGGTTTGGATCATTCTCATTGCGTTTGCCTCTAGATTGAGACAAACACTTCCCACAAACCCTCACCCTCCTCTCTGGTATGAATCGCAAGGCTGATATCTCACTCTTCAGAAAACCGCAGGGCAAAGAGAGCTGACAACACAATGATATTCTTTCAGCTGATGAGAGGCCGAGGAATTTCACGGGAAAAAGGGATTCTGGGGTAAATAAAGTCTCTGTGTGGAGTTTGACTATTTGGGCATGGTGGAAAGGTGCTACAGAGGGGAGCAGAAGGTTGCAGAGATGCAGGAGGAGACAATGCAGAGATGTGTGTCAACACACTGAGAGGCCACTCAATTATTTAGAAAAGCTGCCATGTTCAAAGGGTCAGAAATGTCACCTGCTGCTCCGTCACCTTCACAGCTTATCCGCTTGGGGTTCGATCCAGTGGTCTTAGAAATATACAAATACCACACACAGATGCTGTTTTTTTCAGTTCTTGCTAAAAACAGTGAGGAAAATGCAGTTACTAAAAATCCCAGATGTGATATTTGTTTGCTCCTCCACAACACCAAAGCTGTGGATATTAAGGATATCAAAGCACATCCCTTTCAGGATGAACTCCATGTCTTTGCCTATTCGCCCTCTCTGTTCCTTCACACTGTCACCTCTGTCTTGCTGTTGGTGGCCAGTCCCTTGTGCTTGGGGTGCATGTGTGGTGAGTGGCCGTAGCCCAACGGCTGTGAGAAGAGCTCTGGCAACGTCTCGATGCTGAACTGCCGCTTGTGGGAGTAGGCCTGACGCCGGCTGTTCTGCTGGTGCAGCGGCTGGTGGTGCTGCTGCTGGATGGGATGGTGCTGCTGCGCGCCGATACTCATGTGGGTGGCTGTCGGGTGCGGGATGTGGCTCTTACTTGGGTCCCAGGCTTTGAAGGCCGAGCTGGAGGTGAGCGGGTGTGTGTTGGTTTTGGAAATCTTAGGTTTGGGCATCTGGGAGGCGTTGATGGTTATGGCCAGAGGTGCATGGACATCTGGAGGTGGGAGGAAGGGCTTGTCCTTGGGGTGGAAGTTGATTGGTTGGAAAGTTGGAGGAGACTGGCGGTGGGTGTAATCTACCATCGGATAGCTCTTGTAGTAGTCTCTTACACCTGTGTCTGGAGGAAAAATAAAAGAAAATACAGATTTTACTGAAAATATATTCAGTAGGATTACTGTATATGAACAGATTTTAAATGCCAGAACACACCAGATGCAATTTAGTTGAAGTGACATTTCAGTAAAACTTTTTGATAGGAGCTCATGCAACACATTCTCCTTCCAGACATGTCAAATATTGCTCCCTGGTCATTCCCTCACATCATTTATTGACATTCAGGGTGCATGACAGGTTGTGGCAGGAACTTGCGAAAATGTTCACTGAATTGCAAATTAATGAAGTAGCACTAACCCATCCTTTACCTTATCCCTAACCCTTAAACCTAAAGAAACACCAGTATACATGCCACCACACAAAGCTATCAAAAACAACTTTGTTGGCTAAAATTTGTTATGTGATACAATGTCCTCAACCTGTCTTTTAACTTTGGCATCAATATAGTGATAGGGGTGAACCCCTTTTGCATCAGTATGTGACGTGTAGGGAGATTAGGTCTAAAGCGTCAGTATTTGATGAGATGAGAGTCAGAATGTGTTGGCTCAGGAGGACAGAAAACAGATAAAGTGAAATAGCGATTCTCTTTGAGCTTAAAAAAACAAACACAGAACAAGGAGAAGCTTATGAGAGACAATGCAAGATACACGCGGCTTATTGCACTTCCTACAATATACTGAAAAAATATTTGACAAACTTTACGAAAAAGCTCCTTGAGAATTACCTTTCACTGGCCTCGCCCAGTTATAAACAGCTCCACTGTCTTTGTCGTGGCTGCATTTTTGTTTTTTAAACATCATTTCTATTATGGTTTGTATTAAACTTCTTTACCTGTTCTGTTTAGTTACACTTGTTAAAATGTTGAAAATTGAGAATGACCCCTTTTCATTTTCTATTCATTAAATATTGCAATTAAATAGATAAATGATCATGATATTGTCAAAGCTTATGTATGAATTTTTTTTACAATTATCTTAAAGGTATACTATGCAACCGGTGTAGATTTTCCAGCAAGGCTCCCCCCAGAGGGCGAAAGTAAAAGTGCACTGTCGTAAATATGCTCAGCTGTTCTCCTGGTTTCTCCGTCAAGCCAGGTGCGGTTGTTTTGAGCTTAGCAGACAGGCGAACGCAACGAATCACCATGTCTACTGCGGTAAGTGACTATTTTGTTCCAATTTTCAAGTTTAAAAATTTAGCACGTTTCCGACATGGGCTTTCGCTGTTTTCTCACTGGTTCCGCCATGATAACTGCACAAATATCGCCACTGCGTTAGCAACGAGCATGCCTTTCACTGGGGGCGTGTAGCAGTTCTCGCCGTAAAGCAAGACCGACTCTCGCGATGCGCGAGCCTTCTGAGCCTGTGGGTGCGGGCCGAGGGCTCCTGCAATTGCAAGTACTATTTCCCCTACAAACCACCAGGGCAGCCGAGAAAACCTTTGTTCGACCTGAAATGACTCATTTAATCATCCAAAACGTTATGGAACACATTGATTAACTGAAAAATGTTGCATAGTATGCCTTTGAGACTAACAGAATCTCCCTATTTTCATTTATTTCATTTAATTCATTATTTGAATCAGAGGGCAGCAGGGAGAACAGTCCATGGTGGGGATGTGAAGGGTCACTGATGATGTTATGGGCTTGGGACACTACCATGGACTCTACTGTGTTACTGTGACTCTAAACTAAATAACCAGCATCCATGAAACAGAGGTGAAGTAGGGACAATATGTTATGGTTCTCCCCTCTTGGACTTTGAGTTTTTAGTTTTTTTCATTCTGAGTAATTCTGTTTTTTTTTTTTTTATCCTTGGTTGGTTTCTATTTTTGTGATATATTTAAGTAGTCTTAAGTTGCTCTCTGTTGCCCCCTTGTGCCTGTCTCCTTCCCCTTGCTCTAGTCTCTTCCATCCACACCCGCTCCATATCAGCTGATTACCCCAGTCTTTGCTTTGTCTACCATATACACTCTTTCTGTGCATTTCTTCAGTGCTGGTTTCTTGTTGTTTGTTGCTTCCTTGTCTCTGGCTTCCTATGTGAGTTTCCCCGATGTTTGTTGGTTTTTGGTATTTTTGGATGTTTGCCTCAGTATCTCTTCATTAAACCTACAAGAACTAATCTCTGACTCACTTTTCTCTGCATCTGGTCTGCAAGCAACCTCACTCCCCATGTTGAGACAATACCGAAGCCTAGAAAAGTGTTTTTCAACCCTGGTCCTCAAGGCACACTGCCCTGCATGTTTTAGATGTTTCCCAGCTTCCACACACCTGTGATCAATTGATAGCGGATTATCAGGCTTTGCTGAACTGCAATCATCTGAATCAGGTGTGTGAAGTTTAGAAACATCCAAAACATGCAGAGCAGTGTGCCTTGAGGAACAGGGTTAAAAACACTGGCCTAGAAAACTAACAATTTAACTCAAAAATGTTTTATTTCAGTTTAAAATTTCAACCTTGTAGAGAAATAAAATTGGTCATGAATAAAATCATTGTCTCTTTTTAAATGGTTAAACTAAGGCAGCTTTTCAGAAAAAAAAAACAAGCCAAGATGAACAAACAGAAACGAACAGATGTAAGCAAAATGGAAAAGATAGCCAATGCTACCTGATGGCATGACCCATCCTGCTTATTAATTGATGACGTAGTGTTTAGCTGGTGAAAAATACATCATTTCCGTTTTCCTCATAGAACAGAACTTTGAAATACTGTGGTTCTTAGTGAGGGGAAGCTGGCAATGGACTACTGTTGAAAAATATGGGACAGCACAGTGACAATAAATTAAACAGACCCTCCCTTTAAAGAACAGCGTTTGTTGCTGTCCACTGAAGTGTTTCCACACATGTTGTCGCCAGGCGGAGCTGACAGCGAGATCCGCTCTGACAGTATTACTCAACATCCTCTTTAGTTCGCAGAATCTCCCATCTGGGCCACTGTTTTTCCTGAGCCCTCAGTTTTGTTTTCAACTCCATATTTCACATATTTCCTACTCTTCTTAAACATCAGCTTTGCTCTTTTCCACTCACAGCCTAAAAATTGCCCTAGGTTAAGTCTGAGCCACTGCATTATAATTGCATAAGCTGGAGCTGCATAAGGATTTTTGAGTTTTACAGCATGCTCTGTTTGGATTAATTGTGATGCAGCACAGAATGTTAAAGGAGCTATTCTAGGAGTGCTTGCTCTGTAAAATGCTAATTGATAACGTTTGAGACATCTAGCCTTAAACTTCAGTTTAATAGGTTTTGTAAACTTTGCAAAAACATGTTGTTGCAGCATGTGGTTAAAACTTAATGGACTTTTTTGCTTTTTACCATTTATCTGGCCAATATCCATCCTGCATAATTTCCCACCTTTATTAAAAAAAAAGATGTAATCAAATGTTTTTTCCATTTAATGCAAAGCACCAATGATTTTTTTTAGATAAGTTAGAATAAAAAAAACAGCAATACATTTTTTTTAATCTTCTGATAAACTTTGGTGCCTCTTAAAGTTGTGCTTTATATGAGCCCAAACATGCAGAAAAGAAGCCTTTTTGGTGGAAACGTAAAATCCTATGGCAAGTAAGCCTTCATTCTCTGGCACTCTGCATGGTTTTATCATTTTGCTCTTTGTCGGTGAGGGGGTGGAAAGAGAGGCGGTGAAATTTGATTTTATGTAAATGATGGTTGGTGTACCGATATCAGGGTGTTACAGAACTCACGTCGCCCTCACCTGCAGCATATTTCCATCAAATGGAAACCTTTCTATCCCTTGAGTGATTTTCCCTCATTTGTTCTGGCCATCCTTCCTTTCTAGCCTGTGTACATACATAGCAAAAACACCCTGACTCCCACATCATCTTCACAAACCAAACTTTTTTACTGAACTTCCAAAATACAGACAGCATTTAAGTTTAGCAAGGACGGAAACACATTGAACCACTTCTAGAGAGCTTTAAAAAGTGCTTATCGTTTTGTCATCTGAGGAGCTTAAGGACTTGCTGATCAATTAATCATCTCTCAGAGGAATCCACCCTTCATCGACCCCTGAGGTGGTCAGTACACATAGAAACTGTACCAAAGAAGGCTCAAGCAAAGAGCTTCTGCAACCAGTCAAGAACCTGTCACCATATCTACAGGTCATCTTTTACCTGACCATTACTTTTGTTCTTCCTGTGTTCCTTGAACAATGTATGATTTTGTTTAACCACTAAACAGGAAATGATTAGACTTCATCAATAGCTCTGTCCACAGATTGAACCGTCAGGTCTGACCTCCCTGCTTTCCCTGATAAGTTTACATATCCAGGTCAGGAAAAGGAAGCTAGGTCCCTTAGAGGCCAATTGAGCTGAGTTTAGTTTGAAAACTGACACATGAAGCATCGGCATACATCTTAAATATTTGTGTATGTTCTATACAAAGAAAACCACTATTTTGATCCCACTGCTACTCTAGAAGCTGACTTCCACAATCTGCCCTCTTACTTTCTCTTCAAACCATTATTCATCATTTCTGGCTGCCAGTGCACCTGCTCTTGTCTTACTTCTTTAATTAAAATAGCTATATTAAAAAGTGTTTGTGCCAAAGTCCTGTGGCTTTCCTCTGGCAAAGCTTTGTTGTTTCCTAACGTTTCCTAATCCTTCTATTTTCGGGATACGATTCAATTTACCCTCAGCATCTTTGGAAGCTAAATTTAGTTGTTTTCTCTTTTATAAAATATTTCATTTCCTGTCTATAATGCGACCAAAAAAAAAAAAAGTTGTTTAGGAGTTTTACTGCATCTCGTGTATACTGATGAGTTTATGGATCGCTTTTCCAAGAAAGGTTTTTAAAAGAATTGCAGGTCTGAAACTCTTAACCTCTTTGAAACTTAGGCCTTTTGCACACGGAAATGGTCTTTGGTTTAAACAGAAAGGTGTTATGGCATTGCTGCTGCACAATGCTGTATGTTTTCTCTGCAAATGACACCAAACAGGTTAGGGAGAGGAAGGAATTATAAACCGCTCGGTCGTATAAAAAAAAAAAACAATC